ATATATATGTATATTACACAGATCTTAGAGAAAAATTAGTTCTTCTAAAAACTATATTGAAAGAGCGTATAATTATGAATTCAATAACATTTCGTTTGTTCTTGGCAGCAGTTTTAACCCTAACGGTTACAATAATGCCTGCAGTATATGCAACTGCTGAACCCGATGCGGATGCTTTCCATGGTCCATGTCCAGAAGTTAATGGTATATTTGTATTTACAAATTTTCTGACATTAAGAATTATTTGCATTAATATTAAATTTTAATACGTTTGTAATTTAATATTAATTAATAGTTATCTATTAATATTATTGCAAATTAACATATAAATGAAATATAAGAAATTTTCATATTAATATATTTTATTTTATTTTACATGTTATAAAATATAAAAAATTTATGAGAGAAAGAGAGAAAAAGAATATTCTACAAATAAATCTCTCTTTAAATGTTATTATATTATATGTAAAAAATAAAATCCGAATAAGATATTTTAATGTTTAAATAAAAATATTTTGTACATTATTATTGTAAAGAAGAACTGATTTTTGTATTTATGTGTTATTAATTTTATAGGACGTAAGGTCAAGTGTTGACGGAGCATATTCCGAGGGGACTATTTATAAGCATTAAGCTTATAAATGTATTGCAATTTATGAAAGCAATAAACAAAAGTTTAAATTAGATCAAACTTCTCAATTATTTAGACCCTTCCTAGCTAATGCAACATAATTTTTTTACTTTAATGTCATACAAAATAAATTAATTTGACAAAATAATTAGCTTTAATTATATATCAATAATTATATATCAATTATATATAATAATTATATATCATATACAGTAAACACAGTATAATAGTAAACACAGTAGATGTACGTCGTGATTTATATTCAACTAAAAAAATTTGTAATTGCTTTTGATAAACAATAATTAATAATTAATTTTGTGTTGTAAGACAGGAATCACGAAACACCTAAAATGTGGATTAAATGACAGATATAAATGGCTGTAAGCAAAATCACATCTTCGTGACGTCGGCCGGTAAAATTGTCTAGCGGACTTACTTATACGTGACAGTGATCGTCAAATTGTTAAATTTCATCCTTTTAACTAAAAAAAGAATGCAAGGGATTTAAGATAAATCTCTTTAATTCATAATAATTTAATTGGTATTTTCCGCTCGCGATATTCTCATCAATGATGATGATAATAATAGCTCGTCTTATTGCCAGCTGCCCGCGAAGCGAACGAGATTTCGCATGCTCGTGGAACAAGCGTGCATACATCATCGATGGGCCGCTTCCAATAAACTGTAGCAGCCGCTCTTGCCACGTCGTTAATCACCGCGCGAGCGACAGCAACACCGAAGAGGAAGGTCACGAACGGTTTGGGTGCCGGAAACGCGTTCGCGCCCTAATCATTCAAGTTTCTTCTTGAAATTAGGACCGCTAAGGAACGCGCTTTGTGCGCACAACGCAAATCAAATCGCCTGTATTTCGATATTGTGGGGATTCGACTCCGGGGACTTCAGACCAATACCACGACGCTCTAACAGATAGGATTAATCAATTGAAGATATTATCGATTATGCCCTACCACCGCTAAGTCAATAAACGGGTAGGATTTAGCTTAGCCCCTGTACCTGGGGAGGTTTAGAGACGATCCTCATCTCAATCGTATTATGATTTAGAGCGCGTCGTGAGAGTTGACGAATTCTCCTTCACTTTAGTATATTATTACAATAAAATTGCTGCGATAAAGTTCCTGCGCTAAAGGGTTTAATCAAACGCTTAAAGATTTAAATGTATGTTTAATTAAATGCTAACATTTAACGATATTATAATCAGTAAACTTCTGAAAGACATATTAATACGTATTAAAAATTGTGCGTTAATTGCGATTTCTATATTATTATAACTGGCAAGTATGCAATCTTTAAAGTTATATCTTATTCCAAAATACGGCGATATAATTCTGTTATAATTTTCTCGAAATTATAAAAGTTATTTTTAAATGCATTGTGTCGTATCTTTGTGCATTCACGGACAATTTGTAATAATATCAATATTTCTTTAAGGTGGATTTTTATCGCGGAACGCTTAGTCACTATAGTGTGACGTTGTCACATAATTGCGTACGTACATTCTATGCGAAATGTTTTTATTTTTGAATTACGCTTCTTTTTATTGAATTATTACTTATATGGAGGGACTAACTTTTGACTGGGACTTGCGCGATAAAACCACTTTAAAATGTTTATCCTGTGTCTGTTTTTATATCTTCATATATGATTCTTAAAGTGAAATAAAACAACGGACACGCTACATAAATAAAAAACGATCGAAACAAATATCGATAAAGTGGAATTGAGGAAAGTAAAGAGAATAGCGAAGATCGTCTCGTTAGTGTTGAGAGAGGAAGGTCTCTATCTAGTCGATTAATTTCCTGCCGACTTGTCCAACGCGAATAATCAAGCGGAGGATGCATGGGACTATCATTCACCAAGACTAACGGCGCTGCGCGCTGCCCTTTCAATATGCCTGGCAATAGTATATTTCACTTTGACTTATAACAATACTAATAAGTCTATTATTGCGTCATCCTTTACTTAATTGGTCGCTTTAATTCATAGATTTGAGAAAAACGCGTTAGTTTTGCGTGTAATAATAATAACTAGAGAAATCCAAGAATCACCGACTAAGAGTAAGTAGCAAAATTTTAAGTTCATTTGAAGACAAATCGTCATTAATAAATTTTATTGTTGCCGATATTTCGGAAAGCGTTGATTTATTGTGTTTAAATTCATTTAGGATTTTATTTGCTTCAGCTTTGCTTGACTTTAACTTTGCTAATTAGATTAGAAATTTGTCAAAAAAAACTTATGGAAAAATTTCTAAAAATGTCATAGAAAAATATAATATAAACGAAAAATCAATTTTTTACCTGAAACAAACGAATGTCCTCTTAAATACCATATATTAGAAATACAGCGTTAACAGTATTACTAGATAAAACAATAATAACGTATATGTGCATTGTATATGTATATGTATAAATATGTGTGCATGTAGTTCTGCAACAAAAAAATTTTTAATGATCAAAATATTATTTACCATATAAATAAAATAATACGAAACATAAAGATATATCTATTGTCATCAGTAACAATTATTATGCATAGATTATGCGTAATTATACGTTTGCAATTGAAATCAGCGAAAGAAGGACGATCACAGAAAGCGTCGTAATTCTTGACAAGCATAGTTTTGACGAGTTTCGGATCGCGAAGCAAAATAATAGGCCTCGCCATGGCGCACAATCCAATGTACCTTGCATCTCGATTAAAATTGTATATTCTTCTGATAATATCGGTTAATGACATTTGGCGAAATACTATCGATGCCATGATACCTAGTATTGGAACAGGTGGAATGTGGATGACATTATGTCTTTTAAAGAAGTTGAAATTCTCTTAGGGGATAATGAATGCCGAGAGCACTAATCACAATTGACAGCACTTTCAACCAATATTCCATTGCAAATATTATTTGAAAACTTTGACTACTTTGAGATTTTATGAAAATTAAGACTTTTATTAGGGAGAATTTCCCTAACGACGCACCTATAATACCGGACATTAGCTACATCTGTAATAGTTGAATCGTTACTGAACCGTTTTCTGCGTAAACTGTAGAGGGGAATTCCCTGTATCGTCAACATCGCAGCACGTCCAACATAAAAATTAATATTCGCTATGAAAGTCAAATGGAAATAGTACTTTTTTGTATATTTTTTTAGAAAATGAGACATAAAAATGTCTGATATCGCATATTAAACCGAGTCTTGCGGATCGACTGCAAAATCTTTGTTTGTAAGACACAAATAAAAAGATAAAGACGTCACAGAGTGACGTCATTGTAAGTAGCTGTTTTTGTAATTTATGGTATGTGTCAATAATTATTATTTGAAAGTTTGTCAAGAATGCTAAAATAGGCGCTATCAAGCATTTCTAAATCTTTGACAGAATTTATTTTATTGAAAAATTAAAAGTTTTCACCATTCTACCTCGTGTCATCCTGACGTATCCCCAACATTGCAGCATGTCCAACGTTAAAATTAATATTCGCTATATGAAAGTCAAATGGAAATCATGTGCTTTTTTAGTAAATCTAATTGTAGTCAATATATTCATTATTTCAGCACGCGAAAAAGCAAAGAACTTACGTCGGGTTGTGTAAGAATGAAAAATGCAGAAATACGAGACATAAAAATGCCTGACATCACCTTCTATTAGACCGAATCTTGCGGATCGTCATTTGACGTTCCATATACTTATTAAAGTTTAACAAAATTATTTACAAGCAACGAACGATTATTAATTCATACATCGCGCCAGCAATTTTGTACAGATTATGTTTATGTATTATGAACGATTACTTATGTCAGACGAGTAATCTGGGTGTAGC